AATTAATAAAACATTATTTCATATTAAATAGTCATAATGTAAATTATAATTTATGCTAATAATAACTAATTATGATTATAATAATTATATTTTATTATATATTTCACAATATATATTATTTTATATATTATATTAATATATGTAATATCATCATAGTTATATATTATAATTAATAAAACATTATTTCATATTAAATAGTCATAATGTAAATTATAATTTATGCTAATAATAACTAATTATGATTATAATAATTATATTTTATTATATATTTCACAATATATATTATTTTATATATTATATTATTTTATATATTATATTAATATATGTAATATCATCATAGTTATATATTATAATTAATAAAATAGTTTTTCATAATAAGTAATTATAATACAAATGATAATTTATTTTTATAATAAATGATATTAAAATTCTAATTATAATAATTATATTTATTGTTTTATATTCTATAATATATAGTATTATTATTATATAATATATATTATATAATATATTATATTATTATGTAATATATATTATATTATTATATAATATATATTATATTGTTATATATAATGTTATTTTAATTCTATATTGTAATTAATAAAATCTATCATTTTATATTAAATAATCATAACACCAATCCTAATTCATTATTCTTTATTCATAACAAACTACAACCTTATTATTTATTAACATTAAGAACTAGAATATTAATATTCTTCTCCCTTGCCAGGTTTGTGAAGAAGTTGGAGCACTCCTGGAAGGCCCTGGTGCACGACGGGGTGAGAGAAAACAGCCCTTTTTTGGGGGAAAAACCCACTTTTTAAAGCCTTTTCCAACCCCTCTGGGCTCAGAACCCCGCATTTCCCAGGCACAAAAACCTCCCTGTCAGAAATAGTGGTTTTTATTTTATTTTTATTTTATTTTTGCTGTTGTTCCCTCGCTGATATTTGTGTTTTTGCCCCCCCAGGACACGGTGTCCGTGCACAGGCCCAGCTTTTACGCCGAGAGGTTCCAGCGCTTCATGTGCAACACGGTCTTCAGGAAAATCCCACGTGAGCCTTGGCAATT